AAAAGACTGGAATACCAAGAAAAGTAAGAGTGAAATACATAGAAAAGGAAAAGACAGACAGACGGACGGACAGACAGACATTTAGACTAACAAACAATTTACTAAAGTGTCATATATATATATATGTATATAAAGAGTCAGACCAGACTGACAGAATAGGTATGGGGAGAGTCTTGAAATTTGTTGTTTTTTTTGTGGAAAAAATTGTATTAGTTGGAATATTAGTCTCTTTGTTGGTTTTAGTTGAGTGCGTATAACAGTCCATCAGTAGTTGTTCGTATCATAGAGAGTTGGCGGATATGCTTGTTGATTTGTTGTATTGACTATGTAAAGTATCCGAAAAACCAAAAAAGCAGACGATGACTGCACAGATGCAATTTTACAATTTAACTTACTAATACTCAGACTTATACTACATACAGACTTAATAATTTTTATGACATTTTCACATAGGAATAGTTTTAGTTATTTGTATGACCATGAATATTTTATTTTGTGTGTGTGTGTGTGTCTTTTGTGAGACCTTTTTAAAGTTATTAGTAGAGGTTTAACTGACTCTTTTTAGCTACATATGTATGTATGTGTATGTGCGCAACCAATAATTTAATTGTGGCTTTTTTATTATTAATTTGCATTTAATTGTTGTTTATTGTTTATTTTTCTTTGTTGTTGGTGTTTTTTTTTTAGAAAAACTATTTAAAGTTTTATTAGCCTAATGGTTGAGCACTCGTTTGTATGAAAAAAAAAAGAAAGCGAAAGTGAAAAAACCCATTTACGTTTGAGCGTTTCTTATTTATAGAACTAATAACCAAAGGCGAGTTGTGGTTTTTGTGAAGAAAACTAAAATAGTTAGATTGTTAGTAAGAATTGCCGATATGCTGATTATTGCTGCTAATAATGAAAGTGTAATATTATAATTAAAAAGAAAAATTAAATGAGTTCGAAGGACCATTTGTGGGTATTGACGTAAATTAAAGGTGTTTTAGGTGATATAAAAGATTTATTTAAGGGCAAGAAAAAAAACGAAATTTTGAATTTAGGTTTGTTTTTCATTTCTGGGAGAAAGCTACAAAAGTTTACGATTCTTTAGTTTAAGAGATATTCAGATTTTTACGGCTCTATTTGCGAGATTTTCAATGATAAAGTTTGATTTTCTGAAAGCTATGGAAGGTATTTGCAATTGCCTCAATTAGGAGTCCGTACTGGACCCTTTTAATGCTGATTCTGATCAGATATTTTGGTATAATTCTCAGTATTTCAAGACATTGGTTGTTTGAAAATATTGAATAATATCTTGATGATCTGCTAATCATATAATGGAATGAATAATTGGATTCATTTGTGGACTGAACCTGTTGTGGTAATAACTAAGGCGGCACATGGGTCTCCCAAACTATTCAAAAAGTTTATTTTGAAATAAAATCGTTTGCCTTCTCCGAGTCAACATTTTAAAATTTACAGTCAAATTAACAGAACTGTTGTGTACTTTCTTATTTTCATTCATTTTCGGTGTTAGTGAACTAATCTGAAACGATTTTTAACACCCACTTGGACACAGATGGCATAAATTACTTCAGAGAGTTCTCTTACAAGATAAACGGTTGAAATTTTAGACTAGATCTTAAAAAAATGTGTTTTGTTTTTTATAAAATTAAAGATTTTTATCTTAAAAATAATCAAGTTTGAGTTTAATGTATAAAACTTACCTTATATAAAAAAACATTGAACAAAAATGATGTAAAAGTATAAAAATATGTATATAAACAGCATTTAAATCCTGAGGTAAACATTTAACATTATAAAGCTTAACATATCCTGAGTAATATTTGTTGAAAAACACTTCAACTTTTTCACTTTCCAAAGCAATTTCTTTCCAAAACTAATGGAAAATATTAAATATTTTTCATAACATTTCTTTGCATTTTTAAATAATTGCACTATAATTTTTATATATTTTTTTCGTTAAAATTTCAATTATTAATTTAAAAAAAATTCCTTCGCCTTGACCGTCACCACCACTCACTCATTCACACACTAGCTCGAAAAATGTTCGTTCACTGTAAGAGTAGTATAAGCTCCATAAAATTCTACGTTTTATGAGGCAAATATATATTTTTTCAGATTTTTTTGCAATTTAGTTTGAAGAAAAAAATTCTAGTGATCTTGCGCTTAGTGCGTGCGTTCTCGTTTGCAACCTTACGAAGTCTAAAATAACGACAATGAAACATACTGGCTAAACTAAACTACAAGAAAAAAAAAAAAACATAATAATATAAATTGTATGAGTATAAGAAGAATCTACTTGTCCGTCAACATACATACACTATACTACACAAAGCCCTGCATACATTCCTTAACTTATTTAAACATTGAACAGTGTAATAATAAGAAAACACTCATACACCCTAAACAAAAAAAAATAAAAAGAAGAAAAAATTGCGAATCAAAGGAGGATGATGACGATCATCATCGTTGTAGTGGAAATATAAAGGAAATCGTGTAAAAATAAAATAACAAAGTGCAGACGATAAAAGCGTATGATGAACAGCAAACTACTAAAAACACGATCAAACCCAACATCGAACAAACAAAAGAGCTAGAAGTTGCTATACGACGACAACGATTCATTAAAAAAATGGCAGACAGACAGCCAGCCAGACGGACATGCAAACAACAATGTCAAAGAAGATGAAGGAGAAATATAGTTTGCAAAATATAAAAAAATAAACTCAAATGTCCTTCTGCAGCAAAGGGAGTATAAAAGCTCTCAATTTGTTTGTTGTTTTTTAATTGTATTCTTTATTGTGGTTTTCTTTATTTTGAAAATTTTGTTAAGAAAATATAATCACATTTGATGTTTTATGTAATTTCTATAAGTTTTAAGTGATTTTTGTTAAAGAAGTTGTTTTATTGCAAGTGGGAGAAAGTTTCTATTAAAGCTTTTCGTAGTTGTAGTGATCATGTAGAAATTTTATATTTAATGTAACCCTGCAGTTCGACAAAGAGTCAATGCATCCGAAAAATACAGTGATTTTCACTAACGTCTAACCACCTGGTTGGCTCTAACTCGTCTTTCGTGACGGATGTTCTCTTTGTAAACTTTAATGGCCCCTTTGTAAGCGAGAGGGGGGACACTTAAAAAGCACTTGTCTGTCTCTTTGTAACCTATAGGGTGACGATTGACTTCCTTGTAGGACAAGCACATGTTAAAATAGCTAGTCACCTGGACAGTTGGTGGCTAGGTGTAACCCTATGTGGTAGGTTAAATAAGGAGTTGGGTACTGTCCGACCGAACTGCTGGGAAGGGACAATAAATCTACTAACACATAAAAACGATAAGTACTTAATACATTTAGACACGTTGAATCTTTCTTAGATCCTGACTTGATCTTTAAGAGAAAATAAGACGGTATTTATACAAGAGATCACGGGATTAATGTAGTATATGCATTAATTAGTAAGCTTAATTGTTTCTTCTATATTTGCTTAATATCAGACATAGGCGGAGAGAGACAATTGAGCTCTCTGAAGGGTTTTATTTGTTTTTAAACATGTGCATACAGGCAAAAGAGAGGGAGAGCCCTTTGCCAATATCTGCTTTATATCGAATGCTTGCAGCCGTAACTCCCTGGATAAGGAGAGACTAATAAAGTATAAATCCTAAACAATGTTTAGGAGTAGGCTTAATAAATATATTCTCTAAGTTCAGGTGATCAGTTAATCTTCACAACAGCTGAGTTAGAAATTTTATAACAAGTTATTATTTGAGTTTTTAGAAGATTCGCTTATTTGGTTGTTTCCATTCTTGTCCTACGGATTGAAACAACTGAGCTTTTGCCTTCTCTTGCTAACACTTCTGTAAAATTTAGAGTGTAGACTGGATCATGCGCAAAACTATTTCTTTCAGGCGGAGAGAGACAATTGAGCTTTCTTATTTGTTTTTTAAACATGTGTTAGCTTTCGTACTTGTGCAGGAAAAAGAGAGATAGAGAGCCCTTAGCTTATCTCTGCTTTATATTGAAATCTTGCAGCCGGTACTCACTTGATCAAGAGAAACTAATAAAGTAACAATTCTAAATAACTAAGGAGGCAGTGTTTTTAAGGAGCAGGCTTAATAAATATATTCTCTAAGTTCAGGTGATCAGCTGATCCTCATAACAGTTGTATTAGAAACTTGATAAAAAGTGATTATTTGAGTTTTTAGTAGAGTTTAACTTATTTTACTTGTTTCCAATTCAAACGAAAGCAATTCTTGTGCTGGGGATTAAAACATCTATGTTTTTACCTTCTCTTGCTAACTCATCTGTTAAATTAAGAGCGTAGATTGGATCATGCGTAAAGCAATTACAACTTTCTTTGAGACATTGAAAAAGTTTCGGTGTTGCGATCGGCCAAATGTTAAAATATTTAAATTTCCATGCATTCAAAATAAACCTTAAAATATTAAAGGAAAGACAGAAGTGATCGCGCTGTATATGAAAGAAAGGGTTATTGGTTCGAGTCTCAAAACTTTAACTTTTTAGAGGTGGAACTTGGTAATCAATCAATTTTTATTTAATATAATTTTCAATATTTTTGTTAAATATGTTTAAGACAAATTTAAAAATATTTTTTTTTAAATTTTTTTCAAAAATATTTTTTTTTCATAACTATTGTAATTGGCGCCATTTTTGGCATAAGAGCAAACAATTGGTCCTTCATGCTCTTAATGTTTGGTGGCACGATCACTTAATGGAGAACAATTTTCTGTTTAACAGATTTCAAATTTTTTCCTAGCTTTTAAAAAAAGACAAAATCACAAAACGATCTTTTCGCTTTCAAAAAGCTTTAAGTTAGGATTTTTTTAATTTTAAAAATTTTTGTATAAATTTTTTTATTTTTTTTAAATTTAATATTTTTAATAATTTCTTTAGCACTTTAATAAATTTTCGAAAATTTAAAATTTTTTTTTTTTTGCAAAAAAAGCTTTTAAAATTGCTTTAATTCTAAAAATAACTTACTTGCTTATTCCTTTTAAAATCTTGTAAAGTTTGTTTTTATAATCAGCGATTTTTAAGTTTAACTAAACACATTTTGAAAAAGTTTTTTTTTTAAATATTTCTCAAAAGTTTTATATGAAACGTCAACATTTCTTTATCGTCAACAAATTCTATCAAAGATTTTGTTAGCAATTTTTTTTTAATTTTTTCTTGCACTTATAACAAAAAAAGTGTCTAATTAAAACAGTTATTTATTATTATTAATAAAAATTTTCAAAATTAATATGTAATTACACTTGTCAAAAGTGTTTTTTTTATAACTGTTAATTTTTTTTTTGTAAAATTTTTCCAGCACTTAACTAAAGTGTTTTTGTGTTTGTTTTCTAATAAAGTTTTTTTTTTTAATTTTATCTTTAAATTTTTTGGGGGTTTTTGTTGTAAGAACTTGAAAATTTCCTTTTTTTTATAAAACTTAGAAAATTTTCTTTAACAATTCCAACAACGAGGTAGTTTTTGGTTATTTTTTCTAATTTATTTTTCTGTACGGCTTTTCTGCTGCAAATTTTGATTGTTGATTTTGATGTAAATCCAATAGCAAAATCTTTTGTTGTTGTTTTAATTTTGAACCTTTACTGATCGAATTAAAAAATTCAACTGAATTGAAAAATGTGCAGTTTATGTCCAATTGAATCAGAGAAATACCCTGTGTGGTATTTTTTTTTGTTTTTTTTGGAGTAGAGTAATTCTCTTTACGAGACTTGGTGTTGTATATTTTGTTGTTGTTGTTTTTGTTGAGTATAATTTGGCATATTGTTGTTTGTAACATATATAGACGTTGCGGTCCGGGCAGCAGCAAAAGCGTCATTATTACTATCATACCGTAATAATATGAAATTTTAGTAGAGAAAACAGCAAAAAAAAAAGACGTTCACATCAGTCAACGTTGACAGAGTACGAAATTTACACACATACAATAAAAAAAAAACAACAGAAATAAAGAAAGAAATGCGCTTGCATTCAGTCAGTCAGTCATTCAAGTTCTAGGGCTGGTAGCCAGGCATTTAGTCGGTATCAGTAGCGCTAGTGGTTGGACGTTATGTCTAAAGTTCTTTGGTGTGAGAAGCCATCCCGTGCATAGAATAGACACTGAGTGTGTACATTGTATATGCACCTTTTAATGCGACGTAAACGTCTTAATGAATGAGTAGACTGACTAACTAATGTTATTGTTGTTGCAGGCGTTAACAGCAGCGTACATTTAGCAGCAGCGTTCCATAATTATATGGGCCTTCTTATTAACATTTCAAATTTTCGCATACATTGCCAAAAATTCACCAAAAAAAATTAAAAAAAAAAAAACACAAGAAATACTGTAATTTTTTTTCGTTGAGTTTTAATACTCAATTTTCGTTTATTCAAATGTCGTTGTTGTTGTAGTTGTTGTTTTACTATATAAAATTTTTTAGAAGTCTGTTACAAGGTACTATGTATGTACATTGTTCATGTGTGTTATTACTTAAAACAGGGAAATGTTATATTAATTTGTTTTTGTTGTTTTCGTATTTTTTTTATTTATTGTTTTGATAAAAACCAACAACATCACAGAAATTAACTCAATTCTCTTCTTTTTTGTATATTTTTATTAATATTTCATTTTAAGCTTTTTTTTTTACAAGAGACCCTCTTAAAATGCAACGCACTTGAACCGGGTTTTAAAATTTGACTCACTTTTTATTATTATGTTGTTGTTTTTGCTGTTTGCATTTTTCTTTTTATGTTTTATCCTTCTCTTCTTTCTTAATTATTTTACTCTTTTTTTTGTTAGAATCTCCTACTTTTAAAATTTAACTTAATTCGGGTTTTATACATATTTTTAAGGTTATATGCAATTTTGTGGATCAATTTTAGAATTACAGTGTTTTTCTTTAAAAAACACTCATATTTAAAAATTAAAACAGATCATCACAGAGAGAGAAAGAGAATTATATAATTTTGTATAAAAAGTAAACTTTCTCTTTCTTTGTACTTTTTATATAGTAGTCAAGTAACGTAAAAATTTTGTTTAAATTTTGTAAAGGTCTTTGTTACAGATTCCGTAAATAATAAAAGGTTATTGCTTGATGTTTTAATGATCATTATTTTTATATGCTTGTAAAATTGTTAATATATATAAAATATAAATCTTGAAAAATTGGTTTTTAATTTTTCAATAAAATATTGCTCAAATATTGAATTCAAATAAATTTTATAATATCCGGTTAGGACAATGATTTTTCAACTTTGTTCGAAGTCTTGAACAGTTTAAAGCTTATACTGCTTATCGACTACTTAATCATTATTGGTTTGCCTACAAAATGCTCATCATTACTGTTCCTAAAAATATCACCTAATGCACTGGTTGATAACTATATCAGCCAGATGCCTCGAATTTGTTGTTTCTAATTCATAAAACAAAGTCATCCAAATAAATATTTATTATCATGTACTTTTGGTCGATCACTGATCTAAATTCGGATTCTAATACATCATTTTATATCAAATGTAATCTCAAGACCCATATTAAAAACGAAAAGAAAATTCTATCTAAGTATTTTCAAAATTCACACCATTTTATTTCGAGATTAGCAGAAAGCTTTCTTGTGAGCACTCTTGTGCTCGCATTGGCGTACAATACCAGCTGGAGAGCACATTTGTTACTCTCTGCCCATTTCTGATCTAATTTATTAATATCAGGTTTTTCTAATTCATAAAACAGATTCATCACTGTCGATCACTGATCTTAGTACCGATTCTAATTCTTTATTTTATATCAAATGTAATCTCAAGATCTCTATTAAAACGAAATAAATTCTATATAAATATGTATTTTCAACCTTTATACTATTTAATTCAGAGATAAGCAGAAAGCTTTTATGTGAATACTATTGTGCTTGTATTGGCGAACAAAACCAGTTAGAGAGCATATTTGGTACTCTCTGCTGACTCCTGATCTAATTCATTAATATCTAAATATTTGCAAACTTTTTCTTTAAATATATATTTCCCATCTTTTTACTAACTAATTTAGATTTAAGTAGAGCTTTCTTATGAGCTCTCTTACTTACTTCTCGACAAACAAGACGATACCTGATCTAAGTTATCATCAGAGCCAAACATTCAAAATTAAATTTCAAGTAGAGATAGACAAAAAGATTTCTTGTATGGTCTCTCTCCACTCACATGTAAGCTCTTACATATAAACAATGCCGATCGGAAAGCTCTCTGATCACTCTCTGTCGATGCCTGTTTTAAAGTCAACAGAGTTTCTAAATGCCATTTATGGTAATTATCTTATAAAACCTTTTCTAGATCGTATACTCTGAACTTGTTGAAGATTGATTTTAGAAAGCTTTTGATTCAAAGTTCTGATTGTGTAAGAAGAATTTTGCTTTTGAAAATCAACTTAATGAGTCCATGAATAGCTGCGATATTACCCAGTGTTTCTTAACTAAATTTTTGACACAAAATTTAAATTTATTTAACTGTTGGATAATCAAAAGACTTGTTTGTCACTTAGAAGGGTCATTTCATTTGAAAAAAAGTCTTCCAATAGGTCAAGTCTAGTCACTTTTTAGAAATGAAAAATATCGGTCATTAAAAAACTAAGTAAGTTTCCTAAGCGTCCAAATAACTTTTGATCATGCTTGCAGATCATCAATTTTGGGTACAGTTTTAACGATATTTCGATTGAAAATGAGTTCGATCGGTTCAAAAATGACTCAGATATATATGAGAACTTTTATTCAGTTGCAATTAGTTTAAGGAATTTGCTTGTCTTACGATTTAAGAAACTGCAACCTTTAGAATAATTTTGAAACTTAAATTTTTCCTGATCAACTTTTTGAGCTTTCAAGGAGAGGGGGAAACGAAGAATGATAATCCTTTCTTCATACGTTCCCCTTTCTGCTACAAAATCAAAAAGTTGAGCAACAAAAAATGAAAGCTTCTGAATCGCGACCTGGTTTATTTCATCCAGGACACAAACCTAATTCACACTACATAATATGCTTGATAGTTGTGCTTATCTTAGCAAAGTTACGAACCAATTTCTTGATTATAATAAGCTAATCTTTAAAAAAAAGGTGTTAATCCTAAATAAAATCAATAATAAAATAAAATTTTCAAGTTTATTACTTAAATGCCTTTTTAAAAATTTTTGTTATTTTAAATAAATTATTAAATTTTCTGAGATTATCTTCAAATTATTGTATTAAAATATTGACTATTAGTCACATCACAATCGATTTATACATTATATATTTCCAATGATCTTTTAATTAAAACAGGTTACATACTTGACAAGTGAGTGTCCTTGTAGTATTTTTACACAAAAAATTTATAAAATAATATTTTATATTAATAATATGTACGTATGCCTAAAAAAAAACACAAAATTTACGCACTCATACTAACAAAAATAGTAAGACTGTTTAAAATTTTATATGTAATAAAAATATAAAACAACACATTTTTAAAATACATATTGTCGCTGGCAAGATCATTGACTTTTTTACTGAGTTTGATAATAATTTTGTTGATTTTTAGAGGTTCTCTTGATTGTGTTTTTTTTTCAGGCAAAATATAATAATACTCAACAAATAAGAAAATGTTTTAATATTTTTATTTGGTTGTCTCTTCGAAAGATAATGTGTAATATTGAAAAAAAACAAAATTTTTTTAAAAAGTAGGCTGTACAAGAAATATTATAATAGTCTGTCTGTCTGCCCCCTCCAAACCCACTACTTTTCAAAATCGTTGGGGTATAAAAATTCTCGTGCCTATTGTTTACTTTTTAAAGTTACTGTACAAGATTTTCTAGTGTTTATAGGTGGATTTTTCTGGTTTTTTTATTATTTAAAAATTTTAATATTTTTTTCGGTTAATTTCCTTAAACAATCTTGTTTATTTGTCTTATTTACATTTGTTTTTTTTTTTAAGAAATCTGTACAAAGTATTGTTAATTTACAAAACACACTTTTTTTAAATGTTGCACTAATATCATGGCGAATATTATTATTATTGTTTGTTTTTTGGTAATTTTTTAGCCTAAATGTTTATATTTAAAAAAATGGGGTTTTTTTTCTATAGATTTATTTCATGGGAAATTGCGTTTTAGGAATTAATAAAATAATAATAATACTAATGCACTTTGTAAAATAATTGTATTTTTATTTATAGCTTAATTAAATATTTTCCTAGAACTACTTATACCTACATACATATTTTTTTAACTAAAACGTAAAAAAT